CCGCGTCTTTGGATGTCTTCGACTGGCAGGTCTGTGGCTTAGGGGTAGGGATCTATGAGGGTTCCTTGAAGGGATCTATAGGGGTTCCTTTAAAGGGATCTATATGGGCTCTATAGGGGTTTAGGGTTTAGAGTGGAAGTTTGGGTTTACCAAGGGTCCTTTAAAGGGGTCTATAAGGGTTACTGTAAGGGATCTGTAAGGGTACTATAATAGAAGGGCATGGCTTCGGCTTCGAAATGAGGGATCATTGGGCTTAGATTTAGGGATGAAAGGTCGATCCTGCTTAATAAATTGCATAGGGTTGCTTTTAAAGGGTCTTATGAGGGTATAGTATAGAGGCCGTGATAATTAGAAGAGGGTTTCGGGGCCCATTACACTAATTATAGTTATCATAGTTACAAGGAACACCCCAAAATATTATTGGTAGTTATATAAGCCCCCAAATTAGGGGTTTAAATGAATAGGGCTTAGGTCATTCATGGCGGTACGCAGACATCTAAAGTCGTCGATCAAATGGCATCAGCCTGAGAGTCCAAGAAGTCCTTACTTATGGGTTTTTGGTCCTTCGGTTGATGATATAAACCCTTCATTACCCATAACAAGGAATATGTGGGAATTATAGGTAATGCAGAATTTACATCATCAACCGTTAGAAAGGCCCTACGTAAAGTCCTACTTGGATCCCTAGGGTCATTGTTTAGGATCTAGGGTTGAGCGTGATGACGACCTTGGCAGCGTAAACCCTTGATGCTCCCGAAACCCAAAACCCTCTGTCGTCCCGAAGATCCTTTGAAGTCAGGGCTTATAGGTGTTGCTTTCGGCGTTAAAGAACCCGAAATAACCTTAATAACCTTCCTCTTTAAGGACTTATATAGAAAAATCATAATAAGGAACCCTGACAAGGTAGGTTCTTTCGCGTCCAGGTATGGATACTTTAGGGCCTAAGTATTTACTCTATGGCAATGTAGGAAGCTGGTTCACAAACCCTTGGCCTATAACCCCAAGTAGGGTTCAGATTAAGGAACCCGAATAAAGACCCAAGGTTTCTTGATCAGGTTCCTACATTACATCTGAGCCTTAGGTGTTTGGCCAGCTGAGCCACCTAAGCTGCCTTTGCGATATGCTTACGGTCTTCAGTTTAGGGTTTAGGGTCCCGAGGCAGCTAAACACGCATCACGACACTCAATACCGAAACTCTAAGGGTCCATGTGCCGGAATAGTATATACTTTTGCTTTAAAGTAGGCCCTATATAGGTACTTTGGTGCCAAAGTATGTACTGTCAGCGCACATGGACCATTTGGAAAAAGGATCAGACGGCAAACCCATATGCAAACGCCTTAACCACCAATTTAAATATGACAAGCGTTTTGGATTCCGTTATAGCAGAAGCACTACCTGCAGGCTGCTCAGTGGCAGAGCAGTGTATTCTAAATATTTGGATTAAGTATCCTACGACAAGAGACCGAAAACACTGAGTCAACAAGTATGAGAACCATGAAGTTTGAAGCGACAGGGGCTAGAACGAGGCTTTGTTCTGACCGATGCTCCTGCTTATGCTCCAGTTTGAGGGTTTAAGGTGTAGGGTTTAGGGCTCAGGGCTTAGGGTCTGTGGGTTTATAGGGTCCAGGAACTGGGACTTACTACTTGAGAACCCGGACGGGGGCAGCTACGTCAAGGTCCTCCCAAAGTCTGTCTGAACATGTCGAAAACGTCCCTTTGCCGAAATCCTCCGTGGGGTTTGGGGTTCAGGGTTTAGGCATTTTGGAGTTTAGGGTTTTAGGTTCAGGGTAAGTTGAAAACTTCAAAAAAGTTCCAGCACTGTCTGTGCCTGGCCTTGCCCACTATGACCACCTTCTTCTGCGTCTGCGCGTTGTACCTCGCGCGCATAGACCCTGAATGCGAGGCCCAAGACCCTTCGACCTATAAAACCTAGACCCCTAAACCCCCAATGTAGGAGCCTTAACAACGAGAATAGGGTTTTGGGCCCATTATACTATACTCAAAATAAGGACCCCCCAAAATGGTATTGGTAATTATTTAGGCCCTAAACCCTACACCCCAAACCCTAAACTCTACACCCTGACACTGTGCACCTACATGGTAATCCTGTGCCTCAGTGATCTGCCACACGCGTACTACATCCCCGAGAGCCTGGACGTCAGAACTGAGAACTATATACCCCAGATTCTTACCCAGATCGGTCCTGCATCTATATGGTGGTTACATACCCAACCATTATCACAATGGTAATAGCATATCAGTACGAGTAGTAAAGATCATCAGACAACAGTAACATTTGTATTAATCAATACTTCTACTATAGAAACACATAGAAATCCTACTTCTACTAGATAGGTACTTAGGACCTTGTGAGACAGTTAGATGAGGCTTGTTATGTATGTATGCATGTACAATGCTATGTCGTGTTGTATGCTTATCGGAGAGTGGCAATCTGAAGCTCTTGTCCTGGCAGTGGCATGAATATACACACACAAACACACAAACACACACACACACACACACAAACACACACACACACACACACACACCCCACACACACACACCCCCACACACACACACACAAACACACACACACACACACACACAAACACACACAAACACACAAACACACACATACACACACACACACACACAACACGCACACACGCACACCCACACGCACACCCACGCACACACGCACACACGCACGCACGCACACACGCACACACGCACACACGCACACACGCACACGCACGCACGCACATGTGAGGTTCTTCAGAGGGTTCCGCCGCAGCTGCCCCAGTTAAACCCGAAAGTCTTCTGCCGTCTGCAGCCGCGCAAGTAACATTCACGCCTCAGAAATCCAGGTGTGGATCAACAAAAGTAAACAGAGTCACAAACAGTAGTACATCTGTCTAAAGTCCTTGGCACTTCCTTGCAGCTGACACTGTACAGGTTTCAATTGCCTCTCAGTCTACATGACATGAGAACTTTGCAAATTGGTAAACTCAGAGAAGACAGGGAGCGACAAAAACAAGAACGCATAGCCTCGTAATTACCTCGCTTGCCCCCCCCCCCAACTCTTGAGCAGTCGGCAGCGCCGCTTTTACATACTGTGCAGCTGTAGGGTGTGAGTCTGGAGCACGCAGCATTCAAAAGTCTGAAATAAATGCGTGCCTCCTCGAGAGGTTCACCTCTTGGTGTGGTGCTAGCGATGTACTCGAGAGTGGCGCTAGGTTTCCTCGCTTTTAGTTGCACTCAGACGTAGATGTTTGGACCCCAAAACCTAAACCCGAGCCCAACAAGCAGAACCCTCAACCCTCACACCGAACAGACTCCAGGTCAGGGGTTATCTAGTCCTCGTGTTGCACGGCTTTCTGGTAGATAGCTGAAACGCCTGGCACGAAAAACACAAACTTCCGCCTCAGACTTGTCAGAGTTCTCGCAACCCTGTAGTCCAAATATTGATTCCGCCTGCTTTCTGTTCGATTGCATCTATTTCGGACAAACCGACATAGAGATTGCGTGCAGTACGAACACACGGCTAAAACATCCATGACCATATCCCGTGTAACTCTGCAACTACTGCTTCCGCAACTTGGCGGACTTCTGAACCCCTCCTAGAAGTTAAACTTTTAGCCTCCTTATGATAATTCATATAATATAGGAACCCAAAAAGTTAAAATCCTAAGATCCTACCAGAAGAACGCCAAGGCAACATGACCTTGGTCACAGTGAGAGATGCTGTTACTGGCCTTCTTCTGCACAAGAGTTACTACTTCCCCTCGAGGCAAGGAGGACGATCTTACAAAGGATCGCCGCGGCTTGTGCTTCGACTGCTCTCGCTCTCCACGGCACGATGTACCCTTTTTGTATATACTTAGGCCTTACAGTACCGACATAGGGACCTCTTTAAGGCTTAAGTATCTACTATAAGTACAGGGAGCCTTTGGGCTCTCCACGGCACGATGCGTGTGGAGCAAGAGTGTGGAGCACCGAAATCTGTACGAAGGCACCCAGTCTCAAAGTCTCTCAAATTCTTCTAAGCTGCCTTAACCCCAAGTAACCTTCCTTTTTAAGGACTTATACAAAGAAATCATATTATGGAGCCCTAAAAAGGTAGGTTCCTTAGGGTCTAGGTAAGCACTCATAAAACTTATATTAAACAAGAACGCGAATAATGAGAATGATGTCGTGCTCTCATCCTATTCCCTGCATATCGAGCTGCTTCACGACAGCAACATCACCATCACAGCAAAGGAACTGTGGGCCGAGCAGTTGTTAAATACTACAACCAAGACTAACCCCAAGGGTCCAAAGGACCCAATAATTAGGTACTCGGTTTTAGGATAGTAGTTATGTAGGTTAGGATTTTGGAGATTTTTATGATTATTAGGTACTTGGACCCTTGGGGTAAGACCCACTTACGACCGAGCCTCGGGGCCACTGCCAATTAAGCTTTAAAAATCAGTGGGATTAAAGAGTTTATCATGGTTCAGGGTCGACTTCAGCATATTAGCTGAAGTACTGAAGCATGCCGTGCCTGCAAACTTTGCAACTGCTTTCTGTTGCGTACTACAGGCTTGGACCACACTAGTGCCGTAACACTGCACGTGCGGTCTGGCAATGTGAGTGAGAAGCGCCGAACACTGTCCACTGTGGGACTCGAGCAACAGCTTGTGATCCCTCCGTGTGGTCGCCTCTGAAAAATGCACGACTAACGCCCAAGGCTAAAAGAACACCACGATCGGGTTTGATTCGACGGATTGTCTGCCGCTCGCTGAGGTTAATTACCGCAGACCCGACGTGAAGTTCCAATACAGCGGAGGACGATGCATAATATAGGGGCTCAAATAATTACATATACTATTTTGGGGGTTCCTTGTTCTAAGTATAGTATCCTGGGCCCCAAAACCCTATTCTAATTATTAAGGCCCCTATATTACGTCATCCAAGTTCGCGACATGCTCTGCCGGGGCCTCAGCCACCAGCCGGTGCTTCATTGGGTAACCAGGGCACCCTCCTCCTCAGCGATGCAGCTTGGCTTTGGGGAAATATTAAACCAAAACTTGAAGGATCATGGGACTTCGTAACTAGGCTTTTAAATAAGGTAACTATACTTATTTTACTTAAGTATATTTACCTGTATGTATATATGTATATATATACACAGGTAAATATAAGTATAGTTACCTTATTAACAACCCCAATGAGGGTACTTGTAACCTTACTTACCAAGTCCCCTGATCCTCCAAGAAACTATATACTATGTCATCCCCCCAAACCAGCAGTCTAGTGCTTGAAAGTCCCCATAATCTCAGTACCACCATACCAGGAATCAGTTAAAAGAACCCCCCCCCTCAACAAGGCTCCCATACTTTGGGCTTGAACCCTGGAGGCCTGGTGGAGGATCGGAGCTTATTAGAAAGTATAATAGGGACCCTTAGGGGTTTAGGGTTTAGGGTTGAGGGTTTAGGGTTGATTGAGGGTTTAGGGCTTGGGGTTGAGGGTTTAGGGTTGAGGGTTAAGGGTTTAGGGGGGTAAGGGACTTTACTTCCTTGAGTGGACCTTCTTGCGTCCTTATTGCGGGTATTCAGGCCTCCCACCCCCCTCCCCCCTAGCCCCCTAAGGGTCCTTATGAAAGTACCAGCTATCAGTTGCAGGGCTCTAGAAGTTTCGGTTCTTTCTCGGAAGTTGAGGGTTCCGGTTTTAAGGTTTGGTGTTGAGGGGGTTTAGGGTTCGGTTTAGGGTTTCGGGTTAAGGGTTAGGGGTTTGGGGATATCTTCCATTCTGCTCTGTGTCTGTGTTTTTTGTTTTTTTGTTTTTTTTTTGGGGGGGTCGTTCAACTTGGAATCGGCACCGTGGATGATGTGTGGAACGTGGCAGAGGACACAACCCAACAAGCATCCAACAACCTACTGTTGAAATCTCAGTTAACCAGCCTCAGTGCCCTATGCCCAGCCTCAGTGCACCAACTCCCCAGTCTCAAAACCTGCATCTCTATCAAACTCTTATGATACTTACCGTAACTCTTATTATAGTGTCTCTTATGAAAATCCAACTCTTATGATACTTAATAACCGTAACTCTTATAGAACCTCTTATGGAAGTCCTGAGAATAAATACCCGTCCGATAGTATCAACCGGCAAGATTCCAGGCCACGACGGCTGGGAAAAGTCAGGCGCAACGACTTCTTGGCACGCCCAAGTCGGCCGAAGGCATAGGACATGCCGGCGCCCACGATCCTAAGTCGGAGACTGCTTGCGCGTTACGCGGAGTCAAAGGACCCTACATTACACCCACAGAAAGCAGAAGGATGGGGGGATTGACGGGAAGGACGGCGACATCCTGCTCTCGGAAAGCCAAGTCTCAGGGCACCTGCCAAAGCATTTCCAATGGTCGCCGGTACCAGATTCTTCCTGCGGTTGCCCGACGAGATTTAAATCTTAGGGCCTGGGGTTTAGTCGCCAGTAGTTTCAAGTCTCAGTGTAGTTGTCAAGACTTCTGCGCTTGGCGCTGCACGCATGCAGGAGACGTGCTGAAATAGCTTGAAGCAGTTTGGCATGGTGCTGCTTTCCCTTACCTAGAGGGTCCATATACACTACTATTATGGAATTAGGTCCCCAAAACCATAATGGGGAAGGTCTTTCAGGCCCTAATTCCATAATAGTAGGGTATGTGGACCCTCTGGGTTACGATTGATGTTGTAAATCCTGCATTACCTTAAGTACCCTAAACTATGGGAATTATGGTATATTCCTTATTATGGGTCATGCAGGATTTATATCATCAACCGTAGGTCAGACTGCGGGTTCAGAGCGGCTGGCTATGCCTCTCAGTCTTGGGATTGGCTTTGTTTGGATCATGGGACTTAGTAAGTAGGTTATAATTGGGGTTATAAGTCCCCTAAGTGGGGCTATACCTAATTATAACCTACTTATAACCTTACTTACTAAGTCCCATGAGCCTTCAAGTAGGGTTCCTTTAAGGGTTCTTTTCAGGGTTCTATAGTAAGGGTTTACAGCTACAGGGACTAGGGCATAAGGGTCCATGATACCCTTATAGTGTCCCCTGGTCTGCCATCGAAACGCCCTCTCTTCTTCCACCGGGCCCAGGGGAACTTCAAACTTTAAGAGTTAGACCTTAGAAGGGGCCCCCCCCACCCTGTAATAGTGGTACAATAGGAATATAATAGGGCCCTAATATAATCCTTACAGTCACTGCAGCTCCTAAGTTAGACCATCATAATTCCAAGCAGTTTAAAGGTTGGCCCTCGGCTATCTGGGCTTTTCCGGAAATAGGGGACCCAAACAAAATTCCTTAACCAGTAGGATCCTTATTATAAGGATCCAAATCAAGGTAACCCTAATTTCGGAAACTCCCATTTAAGTTCCCGGATTTGGTGCCAGAGATCAGGTCGAGACGCATGATGACCTCGGCGGCCGTCGCCGGAGCACCAGCCGAAAGGCCGGACGACAGGAGGAAGATATTCCTTGGATTCGATAGGGCTTCTAAACCCTATATCGCTTAGGGTTAGGACCAGTTAGGAGGAAGATGTTCCTTATGAGGAATGCAGGGGATATCATTAATTACTCAGTATTCAGGCTTCTAGATTATACAACACACATGTACTGTAGGTGGTAGGTACATGGAGAGGGATCATCTACGGTTTGGTGACTTTTGCTTGTGGGACTTCGAGATAAGGGATCATGGGGTTTAGATTTAGGGATGAAGGGTCGATTCGGGTTCAGGGATTAATGCAGGGGCGCTAACATTTAGAATAGGTTCCTAAAGTGGGCTCTTTCAGAAGGTTCTATGAAGGTATAGTGTCGGGGCCGCAATAATTAGAAGAGGGTTTTGGGGTCTGGTATACTTTCAATATAATAAGGAAGCCCCAAGACTCTATTCTAATGATGAAGGCCCCTATATTACAGTTCAGGGGTCTGGGATGACAACTCGGGTTGATGACGGGCCTCGAAGGAGAAGCAAAGAGCCTCAAGCCGCTTATGTTCGAAGGCAAGTGCTGGCACCGTCTATGGCAAGACACGGTTGATGATGTAAATCCTGCATTGCTCAGAATAGGCAATACACCATAATTCCCATAGTCTAGGGTCCTTAAGGTAATGCAGGATTTATATTATCAACCGTGTGTCTGGGTTCGTCTGTAGGGGACCCGATGCAAATCTAGAGCAAACGACAGGCTGCACTAGGCCTGGTCACACCAGCAAACGATGCACTCCCTCAACCTTACTTGGAGGGGCAGGGGGCTTAGCAAGTAGGCTATAAGTACGGTTATAACTGGGGTAACTCCATTTAGGGTACTTATAACTCTACTTACAAGCTACTTACTAAGTCCCCTGCCCCCCCAAGTAAACCCTAAACCCTAAACCCCATATATCCCTTTAAGGAACCCTATAGATCCCTTAAGGAGCCCTTACTAAGTCCCCTGCCCCCCCAAGTACTACACCCCTGAGCCCCATCGCCATGGCAGTCTCCAAGCTGCTAAAGAGCTAGTAGCAACCCTAAGGGTCCCACGGTTGATGATATAAATCCTGCAATTCCCAGAATGAGGGTTATACCATAACTCCCAAAGTCTAGGGATGCAGGGTTTATATATCGTCAACCGAAACACCACCTAATCATATACTCTCCCAAATGCTAACCTACATAACTGCTATCCTAAACCCGAGTACCTGATTATCCGGTCCCTTGGACCCTTAGGGCAACGCAAGCCGAGATGCGTGATCGAGTGCTCAAAGCCAATCCCCACAAACATTGAGATGGGGAACCATATTCCCACCCTTAGCCGACGCGACTGTCAGTCACTACAAGTGCCGAGGCAACCCGACAGCTCCATAGAATCCTACAGCCCGCAACCCTGAGCCCCTACATTCCTAAAGCCGTAACCTAGGACGGACGACCCTAAACCCTGAACCTTAAACCCTACCTGTAGCCGGAAAGACCTACCTGTTTAGGGTTCCTTCTTATGGTTTCTACATAAAGTGCCTTAAACAGCTAGGTCTTTTCGGCTACAGGTAAAGCCTACACGCCTCTGTACTCAAACTTTACATGGGGCTCGAAACCTCGAGGCAGGTTGGGGGTTTTGGCTTTATTCAGTGTAGGGCTTTGGGTCGGCAGGGAATCTTCCAGCGCTGTTGAGGCGCTCTTTTCTGAGAATAAGATGCGAACCTGAACCCTAAACCCTATCTATCGTCTCCATGGTAGTTCCTTCTTTTGGTCAACCTTTTTTATGGTTAGGATCTAATAGCAGAGATTTTGGCTAACCAAAAAATAACTACAATGGAGACTATATAGGTAAACCTCAAGCATCATCTGCCAAACGAGTGCGGCGTCGTACAGAGAGACTTCGATCCATGAATGCTACGTGCTCGCTGACGCCCGTAGGGTCCTATCTGCAAGGTCATCTCCTGGAACTCTGTGAACTCGTCAGTGGAATTCCCAATAGTACGAATTCCTCAGGAGGATACCCAATAGAGCAATTCCACAACCTGATCTTGCTTCCTTTAGTAGAACCTTTGTACAGCACCAAAACAAACCTTAGAATCGAATTCCTAAGCAAACCCGACAGCCTTCAATTCTGCAGCACCACGAAGAACGATTTTCGAACTCCTACACCTCAAACCCGAAACCCCTGAGCTCAAGGCATCTTCCCGGAAAGGCCTTTGGCCATAGTGCTGAGCCAAATGGCCGCGCACAGCCTCGGGAGCTGTGGGCTGATTTGGGAGCATGCTTTAAGGTGCTTTGCGCTTAGGGTGTAGGCTTGATCCAGGGTCCAGGTATAAGGCTTATTATTTAAGGTTTAAGGTATAGGACTTATAAGGCATGTTGAAGGCTTAGGGCTAATTTCCGGGCCCTGGGCTATGGGCTTTCTGGGTGACGGACTGCGCTGCAGGGCCTGTTTTGCTCGTTCTGGGGGTAATGAGGAATGGTTTATAGTATTGCAGGAAGCGGCAATGCAACTAGGCAAACGGCAGGTGGTAGCTTGGATACCGATTTCCGTTGCTTCTTGTGGTTAGTTCGATCAGTCTAAGGCCAGGCAGCAGCCAGTTGCACATGACGCCCTTCACCAGAGTCTGCCCAAAACTTGAGGAGCACCTGCATGTCGGGTTTTGGGTTGGGGTAGGGTTTAGGGTTTTCGGGTTCAGGGTTTAGGGTATGCCGGTGCAAGAGAAAGTGCTGACTGGGAAATCACTGGGGGGCTCATCGTGGAATGAAACTGCCGAGTTCAATCCATACCGATTTGCACACATGCTGACCAACGAAAACCCTAGAAGGGAGCTAATGTAAGGCTCCTGCAAGACGAACACACTAGCTTGGTTTTAAGTACATGCATCAATCGTCGGTCAGTCATCCTGAGACAAAACGAGAGAGTCACGACCACTGTAGCAGCAACGTGCACAGCGCCGGGGCCATGTGCAGTACTTAAGTACCTCAAGGCTTTGGGACTCAGGATTTCGGTTTCAGGTTTAAGTTTTCTTTGAAGCATCTCTGTGTTAGTCCAGTCTGAATAACCCGTATGAACGTGCTTATAGCGTGCAATAAAAACAAGAGACTCAACTGTTGGCAGGTCTAGAATTGACATAGCTCGTAGGTTTCGTGTGGAGGCCTTGCATGACAGCAAAAGTATTGTTATCTGGAAAATGACAATTGAAGCTATAATAGCACCATGCCGCAAACACTTATATATGGTCTTCAAATGTAAGCCAGTAACCCCTTCCCAAAAGGGCCCAAGTAGCAGTATGGTACATACATTGCTTTGGGGGATCACATATCTACTAAGAACCTACTTGGTCCATGGAGCCTTAGGGCAAACGGCACGCGCTCGCACTTACGCCAAGAAGCCTGGACAGCACTGCTTCTATGGCCATGCTTGCGGCACCCCCTGCCAGGGGCTCAGTTTTCTCGTCGCAGTGGTAGGCTTTTACGTAGAAACGAAACCCGAAACACTAAAGAACACGTAAGGGGAAGTGAAAGTGGCAGCGGTAGTCCTAGTGATCGTAGTAAGCAAGCCCGGAGGACGAATTTCAGAAACCCTGCACAAGCCGGTGTTGCAAAGGTGGACGTGATCTTTGGGTTTCAGAGTTTAAGTTAATTAAGGTCTAAGACTTCGCTAACCCTTAAATCTCAAACCGGGAACATTCCCTGGAGCCTGTGAGCATGCCAGTGTACTGGGCCACAGCACTCAGCGTGAGGCAACCCAGCAGGTTCCCCAGGAAGCTGAGGCCCCAGTTGCGGAGCAGGCTCTTCAGGGTGACTTGTCCTGCTTTTATCTTTAGGGTTTAGGGTTTTAGGGTTTAGGGCCTATAGGGGGACAATGCGTGAATCTAGGGCCTTGGGTTTAGGGAACATCCCAGTGCATGAGTGCGTCCTTCGAAAGCACCGATGGCCATGATGGCAGCATTGCCAGTGAAGAGCTGCGCGCCAGTTTGAAGCACTAGCAGCCTCAACATGAAATACCCTTCCCTTTCTCCGGTATCTTCCTGTCTACCTATACCTTTGATTTGTGCTTGTGTGCTCTTATGTCTCAATCAAGAAAAACTCTTGTTCGCTTAGGCGTGTACATGATTTGCCTTACTGCCTATGGTTCTTCCTGTTTCCTGGTTTTCAACCCTAAGCCCTTAACCAAAACTTGCAGGCTGTAGCTGTAGAACTTGGGGCCCGGTCCTGCCAAGATGGTGCTTCGGTTGATGATAGAAATACTGCATTACCTCAAGGACTCAAGGACCCTAAACCATGGTTATTATTGTATATTCTTTATTATGGGTAATGCAGGATTTATGTCATCAACCGTACCACCAACGAGAACACTTTGAAGTTCGGCGCAAGCGGCAAGTTCACCGGGAACAGGGCCGCGAAGAGCAGGTTGCGTACAGTCGGATTGGCCGTGATGTTACCACCCACCACCAAGGAGAGTAATCCTGCCATACCTTGGTTTGGGGTCTAGGGTTTAAGAGTGGTTTAAGGGTTTATCCTGCCATACCTCGGTTAATTCTCCCGGCGCTGCCTGATGCATGCAACCTCGACTTCAGTTCGTACTGGTCCTGGTCTAGTGATAACCCTTATCGCAGCAATACTACATAATCGCCTGCTGACAAGTTCGAGCATTACCCTACACCCTAGCCCTGATGTCCAAGTTAGTGTCATCATAGGAGCTAAGGGGCCCGATAGTTTGCAGCGGGGGAAGTGTCTTCTCAACTCTGATACCGGCTCTTGGCCCTACACTTACACCAGGCCCCCTCAAGGGCCTGTTAATAGAGCTCTTCATTTGGGGTCTAATACAGGGTAGTTGGGAAGAACCCTGTACTTATGACCCTTTATGATTTCAAGAGACACAGCCTAAACTCTATAAACCCGAAACCCTGAAGCCTAAATCGCACGCGCTGTGAGGTCCTCCGGCTTATGACTTGCTGCGATGCGCCCAATAACAGCTGCTTGCACTCCAGGCCTGCTCTTGCGTTGCCACTTTTTTCTGAAGCTCTTTCAAGCGCTGCTGCCGGGCTTTGGCTTGCGCCTTTGCTGCTCGCGCCTGGGCCCGCGCCGTCTGCGCCGGCCGGCCCTCCGCCTTTTTGGCTAATGCCTCGGCAGCTTCCGCCTTGCGCGACCGTGTCATGTTGCTGTTTCCGGCACTATGGGGTGACAACAGCCGAGCCTCTGCTTCTTGGTTCGCGTGCTGCGAGTAGTGCTGATACACGAACCCGCGCACAGCCAGCAGATGCCGCAGCAAAGCTTCCCGGGTGCAGTATAGGTGCTCAGCCTTTGTGGTCTCGCGCACTGGTTCGCACATCTGCGCTTCGCATGCGACGTAGTCCAAAGCACTCGTGACAAAGGTGCGACTGATGAAGTCTGCCTCAAAGAGGCTTTCCATGAGCTGCGCCGTCCACCAGCCTGTGCAACTAACGTTCTGCCGCTATAATCCTGGCTACGGCCGGAATTAATAGCCGGGCAGACAGATGCTGGCGAGTTGCTTTCCAGCACCTCCTGCACATCTTCCCACTGCACGCACTCTCGCCGTGGCTGGCCTCAGACCGCACATGTGCACAGTCTTGCCAAGATTATCGCCTGCTTTTCGTCGCTGGTCGGCCCGCACTGCCGCGCGGAGCCCCTTACGCCGTGCGGCAGCATCCTCGAGCAGAGCGGCGGCATCAATGCCTGCATTACAGCAACGTTGCGGATGTCACGTATGTTGCGAATCCGCCTGCGGCGTTTTCTGCGTCTGCTTCCTCTGCCCCTTAACTTGCTCTCCAAGTCAAGCCATCATCAGACTTCCCTGCTCCTTGGTCTACTGGTCTAAGTGGAGGACCCGGCACGGGGTCGTTCCCGCCTCTGCTCAAACAGGTTCAAGTAACCACTCGCTGGGGCGAGATGGTCCGTGCCTCCTGCTTCGCCGGCGGCAGGTCCGACTGTCTCAGCCTCTCACACACACAAGCACTCCAGGTGCCTTGCTTTCGCCGCTGGTCCGGCGGCCGTGCCTCCAGGTCTCCGTTCTGACCTGCTTTCGACTCGCATCCTACTGTCTGGTTGTAGGGTTTGCTGGGAGCCACACATGGCACATGGCACTCAGCCTCCCAGTTGCGCTTTCGGCAACTCTGCTTGCTTTCGCGCGCGACCGAGGCGGTAACGGTGTTGTCCGCAGGAGTTTGTCTTCTTCGCATGCTTTGCATGGCCTCCACAACTGCAGGTACCTGCGCCAGGCACGATTCCCGCTTGTAGGAAGCCTCTGGAGCAGGCCCGCCTCCTCTGCTGCTTCTGGACCTCCCGCTTCTGCCTCACAAGCCAAATTTAACTAGGGTGCCACTGCCTCTCTTGCCGTGCCTGCGGCCCTTCGTTCGTGTTTGCACCTGGTTGTCTACGCCCGCACAATCAATGTAATTAACTTCTGCCGAGGACCACACCAACACCATTAGGGCCCAGCCTCACATTGCTCAGTTGGTTTACTTGTCCATCACCCTCGACTAAGGCAGCAGCAGAGTCTGTGGAGCGCGGTACCTGGCAGGTTCCTACTGTGCAGTTAGTGGTTTGCGCCGCCTCCATCGCGGCAGGTGCCTGCCATAGCACGGCTTTAAACTCCAAGGCCGCACGCACCAGTGCTGCAGTGTGCCTCTGGCAACCCGTGAGGAGCTGGTCCTCACGAACAATAAACTTCCGTGCATGACCGTTTGTTCCTCACAGGCTCCTGCTCCACAGACCAGCCACGCGACCGCGGCGCCTGCCACGTCAAGGGCTTTCTGACTTGTGTTTTAACACTCTGCGGTGTCTCGGTCGTCGACAAAGCAGTCCCATCACAGCTGTCACCAGCGACCTCGAGGCTCGCTTCGGCTTTGGGCCGCATGCCTGCCTCGGATCTGAGCTGCCGGCATGCTGTCAGCAGAGAAGGGCAGCTCTGGTCTTCACTGAGCCAAGCCGTGGCTCGCACATGTGACATGTAAATGTGTGCATCTTTGCAGTTATGGAAAATTATATGTCTCTGCATTCCGTTGTAACATGTTTGTATTTTTGCTTCGGCCGTCGGGTGTCTTCGGCAACTCTCCATAATAGGACATAAGTCAGGCCGCCACAATGGAGCCTTACGACAACCTTCATTCGAAGCACTGTGAAAACCTCTACGCAGACGCGAAAACACTCTTCAGTCCTGCATGCATTCCCGCGTTAACTGTGCCAAGAAACATGTACAATCTCACACCCTGAGAGTTGTAAGTGGGTGGCCTTGGGGTGGGTCAGCCTGTGGGCCAGTGCGCGCCCACAAACGCGCGCTTTCGATTGGCACACCCTAAACCCTAAACTCTCTAAACCCGAAACCCTGAAGCCTAAACCCTGAAACCCTAAACGCGGCGAGGGGCCCACAAAGCAGCCACCCACGTAGGCAGCATAGAATGTCTTGGACCAAGGCTCTTCTTGCAGATTCCGTGCCTTCTGTACCCACGCCTCACGGTTCAGGGCTTTGGGGCTTAGGGTTTAGAGTTTAATGTCGTTTCCAGATTAAGATACCCCCCAGATTAGACGGGGCCGTCCCGGGCATGTCATGGGCTTAATGAAGACCCACCCTAATAGTACCGGAGCTCGCCTAAACCCCCCCCGATTAGACGGGGCCATCCCCGAAAATCCTCGAAGTAAGGATTTAGGGGATTTAGAGGCTTATGACTTAACCCTACTGTACTACTACTACTACTACTACTACTACTACTACTACTACTACTACTACTACTACTACTATACTACTGTTCTACTATTATACTACTGTAATACTACTATACTACTGTACTACTACTGTACTACTGTACTACTGTACTACTACTATACTACTGTAATACTACTATACTACTGTACTACTACTATACTACTGTACTACTACTATACTACTGTACTCCTGTTGTACGACTGCAATACTTTACTAAGTACTCTCTATCTACTTACTACTATACTTAATAATTCACCCCATCCCCACATAATCGGGGGGGGCCGGGAAAAACTTGAACCCATGAACAAGTTCAAGCGGGCTAACCTTGACAGGGGGGGGGGGGGGGGGGGGGGGGTTTGTTAATCTGGATCCAACATTAGGGTTTAGGGTTTACGGTTCAGAGTTTAGGGCTTAGGGTTTAGGGCTTAGGGCTTAGGGTTTAGGGCTGAGGGTTTTGGGGCTTAGGGGACAGCCTGTAGTTGTTTCAACTACGCCAATAGGTACGTCTATGATGTAACATGTAAGCCCTTCAGGAGCCCTTGACATAAACCCAAAGGTTCTAACCACACTTGGAGCTTAAACCCCTCTTCCCGTTCTTAGAACTCATAAGAAGTTCAAAGAAGGGTGAACTTGCAGATTTAGGGCATGAAATTAACCCAAAAGTGAAAAGTGCACATACTCAGCTACTAAGCCTTTCCCCCCAAGTAATGTAGGGGCCTCAATATTCAGAGCAGTATTGTTTGGGGCTATTACGCTATAAATATAACACCGAACCCTCAGGAATAATATCAAAACATATAAGCAATAATTATTAGCCCAGAGGGTCCATATACACTACTATGATGGAACTAGGTCCCCAAAGCCATAATGGGGATGGTCTTTCAGGGCCTAATTCCATAATCGTAGGGTATGTGGACACTCTGGGTAAGTCTTCTTTTTGGGTGGTTGTCAAAATTATGGCCCCTTGTTGGGTACCCTAAATATTAGGTGCCGTATTATAATAAGGACCCAAAAAGGGACCCTAATTTTGACAACCACCCATATGAAAGAGCCCCCGGAGGCCTCGTACGTCTCCTGTGGCGATGCCACGATGCGCCCAGGCTCGGAATGCACGGCACGGAGTCGCCGCCGTGTCCTCGACTGGGAACGGTTGATGATATAGATCCTAGGGTTCCTTTAAAGGCATGTATAAGGGTAGCCTAAAGGGGGTCCTTTAAGGCATCTATAGGGGTTTAGGGATTAGGGTTTAGTTTGATGATATAGATCCTGCAAAACCCATAACAAGGACTGAACCATAATCCCCACCTCAAGGTGATGCAGGATCAGCAAATATCATCAACCGAAGTAGGGTGCACAAGGTATATGATTTGTTTGCGCGTATGACTACGTTTACAATACGTATGTTTTTTCAATCGTATTTACACAGAGGGTGTGCGTGTGTGTGTGTGTGTGTCTCCACGCAAGTAACTGTATATACAGTCACATACCAAAACATAGACACACACACACACACATGCAAACGTGGTATTTGGAACGCTGAGGCTGAAGTCGGATGTTTGCCATACGACCCACTTCACTACTTGGGTTTGGCGTTTCAGCGTTCCTATGATCAGCTAGGCACTCCTGGGTCACTGGCGTTTTGGGTTTTGGGTCTTGTTCTCTTCGGAGGTGTTGAACCGACAACTAGATAAGCTGGTCTGAAACCCTACATCCTAAACCGTAAGACACTGCAGCTTTTAGAAGCGGAGCTCGTCGTTCCGGCATTGGACCCAGGACTTGCCACTATGGTTGATGATAGGCCTCAACTCCACCTGCTGGTCTAGAACCAGAGCCCACTGTGGTGCATTTCACGGGGAGTGACGTGTAGGTTCCTCACCCAGAGGGTCCAAGTACCCAAAACCCTACGTCCCAAAATCCATACTCCGAATGGTTTTTGGACCTGGAAACCCTCCGATCCTAACCATAAAACTGGTTAACCAAAAAAAGGAACTACAATGGAGACTATAGGTAGTTCAGGTTTTAGGATGTGTGTTTACTCGGCCAGGTCTATCCCGCCTGCTCAGTTGGTCTAACATCATCAGGTCTGCCCGCCTATCGATGGCCCTGACCCTAAGGGTCCAAGTATCCAAATAGGAGGATTTCCAGGTCCAAAAACCATTCGGAGTATGGATTTTGGGACTTAAAACCCTACTATTTGGGTACTTGGACCCTCTGGGCAACCTTAAACCCTAAATCCCTTTACCCAACGTTCCCAAAGTCGGACCCGTCCTTCTGCCACCGACAGCCACGGCCGAAGTCAGCAGAGAAACGGCGAGGGCCTAGGTGCACACTTTTTGTATAAAGGTGCCACAAAGGAAACATCAGACCAACCACAACATCTTACTTAACATTGATGACAGAGGTGCGCGAACCCTGAACGCTAAAGCCTATACTTCTCCATACACCCGACAACCGTAGTGCGAAACGCTAAACCCGTATCCTTAACCGGGCTTAAGCCAAACAGTTGAATCCTGACTTTATGTGGATCCGCACCGAAAGGCAGCACTTCCTAGTGCACTTGGAAGCCTGTTAAAGTATCCAATTAAGAACCGGACATACGCCCTAAACCCTGAATCCTAAAACCTAAACCCGACACCCCCTGAGCCCTAAACCTTAAACCCTAAACCCTAAAAACCCCAAACTGAAAAACCCTACTCATATACACCCTAAGCCCAGAACCTTAAACCCCAGCACTAAGGCAAGGACAGGCTTGGCACTCCACAGGGTCTTCGTCGTCTTCGGGGTGCCCGAGGTGGAAGAGGGAAGCGCCTTTAGTGTTTAGGGTTTGGGGTTTAGGGTTTATGGTTTAGGGTTTCGGGTTTGCGTAGACCCCCCCAACTACCCTTATACCCTAAATGGTTTATGGTTTAGGGTTTCGGGTTAAGGGTTTCGGGTTTGCCTAGACCCCCCGACTACCCTCTACTATACCCGAAATACCCACTATTTAGGACCATTAGCTCTATTCAAGAATACTTGGGGAGTCCTGGTGGGGTTTTAGCGTTTCGGGTTTGTACGTTGATTTCAGGATTTCGCAAGGCATTGCCTTAGGGTTTAAGGTTTTAGGGTTTAGGGCCTGTGGCTTTTCCTTCGAAGGGGCTCCTCTTTGGGAGTGCTTTCAAGGGGTTCCTCGAAGGGTTGCTAATTGCTACGTCAGCTACGTAAGGGGTTCTCTGACATGGGGGCCTTAATAATCAGAAGGTCAAAGGGCCTTCGACTTTGTCATACTTTGTAGGCTGATGGGAATAAGGGTTTCTACAGTGATGTCTAGGCTCTATGGAAGGATGTCTACAGAACCCAATTAAGATTTGCAGTTGCAATTTCGAACTTGCAAATAAGGGCTAGGGCCCAGACGTTTTTGCAAATAGGCTTCAGAGGGTTGAGGTGCTATCTTGAATAAGGGCAGGCTGTTCGAGTTTGGGGTTTGGGGTTTATGGTGCACGAGAAGACATTCCAAAAAGTCGCCTGATTGCAAGGACCCCCTACAAGGGACCCCAAACGCTACACAGTACAGCCAAATGGCACCCCGAATTGGTAATTAGAATTGGAGTGAGGGTTGTGCGAATATATTGACAATAATTACACGTTAACTATAAGGGAATGCTATCCCTAATCATTTCTAGACCCTTTTATCAGCATACAGACCTATAAAACCTTAAAGGGACCTATTTTTTCAGGGTGGCTACTACTTCTAACCATGGCGTTCTCCACATTAACCCTGGAGCTCCAGTTGTCTAAACAGTAGGCTACTAACCACATAATATGTAACTTTAACACAACAACCCTAAATCTTAAACCCTGAGGCCTAAACCTTAACCCCCCAATCCCTAAACCTGTTTGTGACTGGAGCCCTAAATCAAGCAATGCCTTGCTGAGATGTCCCTGCGCAGCTGCGTGTGCCAGGCCGGTCCTTTACCAGCCGGTGGGTTCAGGGCGTTGGGCTTATAAGCTGCTTCATGGTTAAGGGGTTTAGGGTTTAGGGGCTATGGGGTTAGGGCTTAGGGGTTCACCTACAATCCGTGCGACCCTTCCCATCACACTGACCCTACTGACGATGTCAAAAGTGCCTCCAACAAGGGTTCAGAGTTTGCAAAGCACGCATTGTTCCATGTGTGAGGAGGTACTGACTATGGTTCATGGGCATATACGGCCTCGTAGGGTGTAGGTTACTGGATTGGGCTGCTAAAATGGCCCTAAACCCACAAGCCTCGACTCCCAACCCTAAACGGGTGCTAGCGCACATGTGTGTGGCATCACGGTTCGGACAGGGTCATCACCAAGCACCCAAACCATCTGGCGAAAGGCCGGTCTTGTCCTTTTCAGAATTTAAGAACAGTAAAGCACCCCGGTCTGAACCTGAACAATGAACCCGTCCCAAGGCGGCGTTCATGCTCGGTCGGTTTAAGGTGCAGTTGGAAATCAAGATTATAGGGTTTAGGGTTTTCAGTCATAACAAAGACTGAAGATTACCAGGTGCCTCTCATCACAACTTAGTACCACGGGAAAACCCTGTAGGGATAACTCGTCAATTCCTCTCATCCTGGATCTACTCTATTGAGGCACAGACTCCTGCCTACTCTCTCATCAGATGATAGTTACACCAGACTTCCACAAAGCTTCACAGCACTTAAATTTACAACCCCCGCAAACGCTAACCTTCAACCGTAGACCCCCAAACAACTGCCTTGTGGCGGCCAAATGTGTGGGTGTCACCCAGGCGAGGGAATCGGCCGCCATGGCTTTCGACGGGGAGCGCGCGAGAACTTGACTGAGCCAAGGGGCTCGTTGCGATGGCACATCCGGTTTAGGGTTTTGGGTTTGGGGGGTTTAGGAGTTCAGGATTTAGGGTTTGAACGCCTGAACCCCGCACGCAGAATCGGGACTTCAGCCACAAATCCACCATGTGGCAAAGATAAACCCTCAAGGCTACACCTTCGACTCGACTTCAAAAACCTATGAACTAAATACTAATAGTCAGAGCCCTTGCTTCGAATGTCTTAAGCCACCCATCCCGGATAACAAACACACCGGGGCTTTCGGAGTTGAGTTGATGCAGCTTTTTGCGCCGTATAGTGCAGTTAGATCAACCCCACACTCCAGAACCGGCCCTTGTTGAACAGGCTTTCGTGATTCTAAAGCTTCGGGGCTTTGGGGGCTTGAGGTTGTGAGGCTTGGGGACTGCAGGATCTGGAGCATCAGGCAGTGCTGGTCTCTGCTTCAGGGTTCGGAGCTTGCTACGACTGTGCACAATGCTGAGGTCATATGGCGTTGGGCTGAGTACTGCAACGAGTACCTATCCTCCCAAATCCCTGACATCCCATACTCCCTGATCCCTCAGCCCGAAACCCCTGAACCCTAAAACCGAAAACCCCTCTGAAGCCCTAGCGGCCTCAGCCCTATAGCCCTGAAGGCAGCTCCCGCGTCTCTATGTGGCTGACACGATCAGCGAGCCATCCTCGCAACCACACCTGAGGTTTAGGGTGCAGGGTTTGGGAGTTTAGGGTTTCGTGGTTTAGGGTCTAGGGGTTTAGGCTGAGAGGTTTAGGACTTAGGGGTTTGGGGTGTAGGGCTTAAGGCCCCAATCCAAGTCAAGCTTGACTACCAGTTTAAGGTTTAAGGTTCAGGGGCGAATGCGTCATTTCTTTATAAGTGTTTGTGAACATACAGATGATACATATTATGGATTCAGGATTCTAGCTTCTAGGTCTCGGTGCAGCTACATGGAGAGAGAGTCAGAGAGGCGTTGCACGAGACAGGAGCCACTGAGCACGCAGCAGCAGCTTTTGTGCCGCCCTCGGATGCGATCGGAGCACCTGGTAGTTTGCAGAATTGTGACGTGACAGAATTCGGAGCACCTGGTAGTTTGCAGAATTGTGACGTGACAGAATCCCGAGCACACCTCGGACCTATAGGCAGTACCACAAGAACCCCCAGTGAGCGCCGATGTATCTGCTACAAAGGTGCGTGGAGTAGACTGTACGATGGTCAGAGCGAGAAGCATGATGTTCTATCAACGCCTGTCAGCCCGGAACATACGACACGACAATGCTTCCCCGTAACAGTCCAGGTGCAAGAACGGTAGGGGTTGAGGAAGCCGAGAAATCGTCAACAACAGTTTCTGAAACGACGAGTTCAGGTTTAGCCCTAATCCCTGCCTAAGCCTCAACCCAGTAGCGTGTCTCGACGTCTCCAGGCGTAAACCCAAAGAACGACGTCAGATGCCGCAAAATGCCCAACTTTTGCTCCTCGGCTAAACTTTAAGGGTCCATGTACCCATATAGCATATACTTTGGGCCTAATGTAAGGGAGTACTTTAAGGCCAATGTATATACTATATGAGTACATGGACCCTTAGGGAAACACAGCGATTCCACTCCATACCACGCAGCATGGGCCGAACGAAGACCGATTGCTTTTGGGAGTTTAGGGTTGATGTTCTCGCGATTCAACCTTAAAGTTTGGGGATTCTGTACGAAGAAGCTCGCTAAAATACGCACTCGTCCCTGATATGAGACCATGACCTCAACGACGAGTGCTGAGAACAGAAAAACAAGGCCATGGTTCCCGAATGACTAATGACCTATATCTGAAGCCCAGTGTCCTGTCATCCCCAATTCTGGGTGGGGGGAGCTCAAGCTAAACTTACCTTCAGTCTCCATTGTAGTTCCTTTTCTTGGTTAACCAGTTTTATGGTTAGGATCCTATAATAGAGATTTTGGTCAACCAAAAAAAGGAACTACAATGGAGACTATAGGTAGGGTCCGAATTACGGCCCGCTGGTTCCTGCCTTCGCAGACTTCTCTGGTACGCTGAAAGCCTTTGCGGTTCTGTTGGCCTGGCAAGCAGAGGTGCTGTTGTGTGGTGTTGGAGGGTGTGCTCAAAAGAGATGGAATCGGGAACGCTCGATTTCGAGGCTCGAAGTGAATGCAGATACTGGGTCTTGTGTGATATGGCGCACCTCAAAAAACTAATCCTTCGATTGGTTGACTTTGAGCTGTCAGGGCTGAGTGGAAGCCAATGCGAAGATATTTCCTGGGAAGGCTGTTCCATGTTTTGCTTCAGCCAATTTTTGGCTCTTTACTGTAAAGACGCCCAAAACTGAACAACAATGGAGAGTATAGGTAAGCTCAATCTAGCCATCGGGACAAAGCGAACACAACCACCACTCTGCACGCTCTTGTCTTTGCAGCATCAGCGGTTAGACTTCTCAAAGGTGGAAACCAACGCCCATCATGCCTCTCAAGCATCCGCAGAACTGCGGAATAAGCCAGACGATAGCCTCCTAAACCCTAAACCCTATAAGCATTGCCTGCGCCCTAAAGCCTGAAACGGAAACCTCCGAGGAGTCAGACTCATAGCCACTTCCCTGAAAAGCTGTAAATGCAAACTGGGGATCCACCAACCTACTATCTCAAGTGCCATATCCTGTAATTGAAGGGTCATAACCTACTATTTTGCAGGGTGTCGTAAGGGCTAATTTAAGGGTCCATGTACCCATCTAGGATATACTTTGGGCCCAATGTACCTATATAGGAATACTTTAAGGCCAGCGTATATACTATATGAGTACATGGACCCTTAGGGATTATGAAGGAAAAAGGTTGTAATGCCCATGACAACTGTAAGCAAAACTCTCTATAACCATACTAGTGATTATTCCAGTGAGTTAAACCAGCAAGTCACATTACCACCGTAAATGCTGGTAGTCGCTATCACGAGAATCGTAGGAGTCACCCGATCACTAAACCCTAAACCCTTAACGTGATTTCTATAGATCCCGTTTAAGGGAAACCCTATACCCTAGGGATCCCTTCAAGGGACCCTTGCTCACCTTGTAGTCCCAGAACATGATGCTGCCGTTGGTGGTGGCAAAAACAATCTGACCAGGCCGTAAGTGTGGACGAGGTTCGGAGGTGCGGGACTAGGTTCCCGAGTAGCCCCTCAATCAGGGTGCGCTTTTTCCAACTGTTTCGTGTTAGTAAAGGAGAAAGGGCGGCCGTCTTAGCATCGAGGGTTCAGAGATTGTGGCTTGGGGTTTAGGGTTGTGGGTGTCGGCTGAAACATGAAACATGCAGGGTGGAGTCTGCAGCTTCTAGAAACCGCTCGTGGACGGTGACAGTCAGCATGCCCATCCTAATACCGATGGAAAACTATAGCGAAGCTTGCAAGTTGCAAACATGCTTGTCGTCTCAGTGCATGGTTCATGTGCCTTTCGTGTGACCCAAAAGGGCCCCATGTACCTAGCCTATATAGTCTATGCTGCTGCCTTCAAGTACCTATGTAGGAACACCTTCAAGGCCAAAGTACAGTATATACTACATGGGCACATGGACCCTTCAGCCCTAAAGCCCTTCTAGAGCCCTTATCGTAACCCTGCTACATGCATCATACAACTATAAATGAAGAAATAAACAAACAAACAAATATGTATGTATATATATATATATATATATCAAAGCCGACCTTACACCCGGGCACCTGGTTGCCAGAGGCCTCATCAACCCTAAAACCCTCAAACCTAAACCCTAAAGCCCTAACTTAGGAGCTTGAAAAGGGCACCTGGTTGCCAGAGGCAGGCCAATCCATCAGGAGCGGCACCTCAGGGACCTTCCGACCAAACAGTTGCAGGGTCTCGGGCTTAGGGTCTAAAGTTAGAGTTTAGGATTGACCTATAGTCTCCATTGTAGTTCCTTTTCTTGGTTAACCAGCTCAATGGTTAGGATTCTATAATGGAGATTTTGGTGAACCAAAAAAAGGGAACTACAATGGAGACTATAGGTAGGGTGTTAAGATTTGGGTTTCGGGCCTAGGGCCACTGACTAGTTAGGCTTAGGGTCTAGAGTCGGCGCTCAGGGTTTACGGTGTCAACTTTGGGTCTCGCTTTTCCAGGATGCCCAGTAGCCCAGGAATAGAAAGGGCGCCCTTTCTTTAACAAGGGCAATAATAGGGGTTTGGTACAAGGGTTCTACGGCTTTGGGATGAAAGATAGAAGCGGCATCCTTTACAGGGTTCCTTCAGGGGTTTAATGAGTTACTTCGGGGTTTAGTGAAGGGGCTTGCATAATTAGAATACGTAGGCTCCAAAGCAAGGTTCTATCAAGGGTTGTGTAATTAGCGACACCCAGGGTTTAGTCTAACGCCTCAAACTTGGCAGAGGGTTTAGGGCTATACTATACTCCAGAAGGGGACCCTAAGGAATGATATAGACAAATTTGGCCGGCTTCGGAAGTACTCACTGTGTACTATCGGGGTTATGTGAATTGGGGTGTCTTCCCTTAGGGATCAAAATAGCCCAAAAGCCTTGTATAGTATGGTCTTTGGACCCAAAAGCCTTAATATATGAGTCCTTAGATCCCTAGGGTTTGCAAATTACCAACCCCTAGTCGGTAAGAACTGGAAACCCTGAACCCCACACCTCCGGGCGCCTTCATGCAGTGTCGCTCCTCCTCTGCATCAACGTCCCAAATAGCGATGCGCATTCCCAACGAACAGGACCTGCAGCTGGTGGTAATATGGGAGCTTTAATAATTAGAATTATACTAAACTTGAAAAATCATGAGGATACTCACTATAGTATAGGAAAATATTTCGGTCCCTATATGTAATGATTTCGATCCCTATATTAGGGCTTTGACTTTACCCACAGGCTCCGTTGTAGTTCCTTTTTGGGTCCATTATTCAGCACCCTATTATAAGGTAATCCCCAAAGGGAACTACTATGAAGCCTATGGGTATCGG